CAATATAAAAGTAAAAAGCACCCTTAAAGTCATTTGATATGATAAATTGTATCACATTAACTAACCTTATCTCAGCTAAAGCAGTGAGTTTAAAAACAGGATAATGGAACTAGTTTAATGAATAATCTGCCTCTGAAATGCATACTAAATCAAGTGTTTATTTATGTAACAACCTGGTAAATTACACCAGAATGATGGAAAGGGCATCGATTTCGTTCAAAATTTTCTGGGAGAGGACCCCCCCSCCCCCCCCCCCCCCCCAACAGAGTGTGCCCCACTTTAAAAATGCTTCTGACAGCCATGTTTATAAGGCAGTCACTGCCTGTATGAGGACATGAGGAAATGACAAAAACACAAAGATCTGCAGAAACTTTCAAGTAAAAAAATAAGGTAATTTTCCTGGCCACCCCTGAGAAAAATGTCTGGCTCCACCACTGAAGTCCCAACATTAGTGCAATTGATGGTGTAGTTTACAATATCTACAGTATAAGAAGTTTTTCTTCTTCTTTTTTATTTATTTATTTTTTTGCTGTCATAAATCTATCTTGGCCTGTATAAGTTTCCAGGCTAGAGTCTGTCAAACTCTAGTTTGAACTCGAAGATGAGTTTCCTTCACTTTCTCATGAAGCTCAGACTGGTGGTGAGAGAGAAACAGAACCGTTTATTTTACATGATGTATTTTCATGTGTAGAGATTTGGTTTTATTTTGACATAGAAGGAGGTTTTTGGAAATTTCATTTCACATTTACACAGACCATGACTAATTTATGTGACTATCAGCCACATGAAAGAAAAACAAAACAATATTCTATCAGGTGAATTTGCTCAGCAGCACATGAGAGACAGATGGATTGAACTAATTGGAAAAAAAATCACTTTCTATTAAAGATAAGAGTGTTCACACCATTCGCTCATCAGCAGGATATTACATGCTGCTGTTTCCCTGTCAAATAATCATGACGAACAAACTTCGATTTCTAATTTAGTTTGTTTAAATTTAATACTCTGCTGGCAAACACACATTGCCTGCCTCAAATAATTGTCATGTTGACTATTCAATAATAATTAATCTACTTTATAATACAGGGGAAATTACAGAGTGCACATAAAAACGGATATTCAAGAAATGAGCTAACAAAATGACTTCAGGCACATTTCTTTTATTATGAAAAAATAACAAATCCCCAAAATGTTCTTAATTAAGCTTAACATTGAGAATATCTGGTAAAATCTCAAAGACAAAATAACAGCAGTCTGATAGATTATGTGGATTATAAAAAAGTTTATGAAAAGCTGATCCAAACAGGCACCTCTGGTCTGTGAAGGGTTAGAAAAATTTGGAGCAGTTTCAGGCTGAGTTCTGCTGCCCTCTGGTGGCTGAAATCATCACAGTCAACAATGGCTTGTAGTTTACTGTTTGAATTTGTGGATTTTCTAACCTAAATCTAATCTAATTCATCTTGAACACCCAACAAAAACTTTTTTTAATCAAAACTCAGATGGATCAGATGGGGCTTCTGGAAAAGACATGAGCTGACCAAACTTTTAGGTTTGCACAAACATTCTTTAAACAAGCCTCCATCCGACTACCATCAGCATCATCCCTCATACTCTAAAGATCAGCCACTTAATCTATCACCAATCATCTGGTTTTGAATCTTATCAGAGCAGGTCTCTTCCTGACCTCTCRCTCACTTCCTGTCTGTCACCAAACACACAGCCTGATGTCAGGAACAAAACATTTTACCGAACCTGCTTACAATCAAAACATTCCTTAAAGAGTGCTCATTTTCTTAAACCGCTAAGGCTCTTTAAATGTAGTGAAATGGGTTATTTAATGTGATCTGCATGTTTTTAGTTGGCAAACCAGTCATCCACAAAACAAATTATTTAATAATCTTCAAAATAATCTTTTTATTTTTGGTTCTTACAAAATAAATCTTTATTGGTTTAATCCCATTAGAGCTTAGAGTCATTYCATTGAATGAGATGAGTCATTTTTATATTTCTTACAAATGTTGCTTGTACAGTGGGGTGCGAAATTCCTGATTTACCTTCATAGATCATTGATTGTTTGGATAAAAAAATCAGTTAAATATATCATATAGGGGACAAACACAGTGATATATGAGAAGTGAAATGAAGTTTATATTATTTACAGAAAGTGTGCAATAACTGGCTAAACAAAATTAGGCAGGTGCATAAATTTGGGCACCAAAAAAACAAAAAAACAAAACAAAACCTTACCTCAATAT